AATTACTATATAAAGTATGTATAAGTACTTTCAAATGATAATTTGCCTATGGAAAATGCAATAAATATTTATCGTTGTCTGCCAAATAAAAACAATAACAAACTTACTGATCAAGGTTGATAACATCACCGTCGTCCAAGTTATGAGTACCGTTGTTATTGTCATCAATGGTGACATTTTCTTGCTTTGTTTCATGCATTACTACTACCTCTTTTGACTCCATGGTAGATCCTACGTTACAAGCGGCCTTTCAAATATCGCTCTACCAATGCTTTAAGTAACGATTGTTATTTATAAGCCTATGTATCCGAATTTATTCGTTAAAATAAATAAATATATTTGTATTTATGTATGGATGTAGTTAGAAAGCAATATTGGTGAGATGGTTATACAATTTTGTCTTCTAATTAATATAGTTGGGCAATATTGGTGAAATTATTCACGAACAAATTTTTGCCTGCTCACATGGGGAGATATACCTTAAAATCAAAGAGAAGATACAAGTATACAACCAACAAGTAATTGAAAAGAAAGATCGGGTTCACATTTTAGATTCAAAAACTAGCTAAAAAAATTTAACAGCTACCAAACATTTAGTCATTTACCTAAATTTCTGGCTATAAGCCAAAAAAATAAAAATAAAAAATAAAAACCCACCTAGCTTTATTTTTTTTATTTTTTTAATAATTACATACATTTTTATTTGTTGAACACATACAATTTAAAACTTGGAAACATGGGTTGTAACCTCAGTCCTTTTAATTACTCCATACTAAATTATGCCATATAACATGTTATCCTTTTAAATAAATAGAAAAGGATATAATGCATTAGAAGTATGCACTAGTGTATTATTATTATTATTATTATTATTATTATTATTATTATTATTATTATTATTATTATTATTATTAAACAAAACTAGTGTATAAATGTTAATCATGCATGCAATATTAATATGTGCATAGGCCTGGTCCAAAAATTAGTTTTATAACAAGGGTTGTTAGCTTGTTCTTAGTCCCCGTTCAAAATAATAATAAAAAATAAAAATAAAAATAAAAAAAAATAAAAAAAAAAAAAAAGCTTAGTCTTAGTTCACTTACCCGTTGTATTGAAGTGAGTGGTAAGTCAGGGATTTACCTATTTAAATAAGTTGATAGACTAAAAACGACTTGTTGATTTTATTTTTCTTTATTTTGTGTAGGGGTTTTAACTCGAATTTGATAATTCAATTGATATAATTGTATCTTTGTAAACCCTAACGGTGTTAGAGTATATATATTGTGAATAGCCAATAGAAGCCTCTCAAGGAGAGTTTCACTACCTTACAGTGCCAAAACTCAACAATAATATTGGGTAAGGTTTCAAAATTATTTCTTTTATCCATGGTATATTGTATGCTACATTATATAGCTAGGTTCATTCAAAACATGAATAATGTAGGCTTTACAAGAATATTATAGGAAAAGGATTAGTGGGCGCCTTTTTTTTTATTATTAACTAGGTGTGAAGCCCGTGCGATGCACGGGTTTGGTAATATTTTTTTTTTTATTATTGTTAAATAAGAACAGATAAAATCATAAATATGAAAACATCAATTATTACTGTAATGGATTAGCTATTACAATTATTTTTTAAGAAAAGGAAAATTGTTACAATTAATTAAAATCTACTTTTTATTAATAATATAATTAAAATTCAATTTGCTTATATTTTTTTGTCAATACTCCTTTCTTTTAAAATAAATAAATAAATACTCCACCTACCCTTTTCCGTGTTCTTTGGTCTGTTTACATTATGTTAGTTTATTAACTTTGTTTACAATTTTAATTCCATTTAAATACTCATGTGTAGTCATATTCATAAAATAATTCAAATTATTTTATGCATGCATTCTAATGTCTTTTAATTAAAATGTCTCATTATTTTTAAATATTAGAGTTGGCAAACTTCTCGTATTGTGTCAGGTTAACCCATTTAAACATATGTTTATTTATTTATTTATTTATCTTTTGACGGAAAGTATTTATTTCTCTAAAGCAAAGAATAAAATGGAAAAAAAAAATTGTGGTTGCAACAAAATGGACCCATCTACGAATATGAAAGATATACAAATTAAAAAACTATAAATCTCGAAAGTTGTTACATAATAAAAAAATTAAAAAGCTAACATAAGATAATTAAATATCTATTTCTTGAACATGAACTTTTGTTATGTTTCAAGAGAATCCTTGATTCATAAAACTAAACCTGCATCATACACAAAGTACACAAATTAAAGTGTTAATATTAGCATACTATTAAATAATCTATAAGATAAAATTAGAAATTGTAAAAAAATATCTAAATGAATTATATACATCCTAAAACATGTATACCTTTACTTCTTTGATGTGATTTGGTCGGATGAATCATTAAAAGGGAGTTTTGCGGTTTCTTCAACGACTGTAATTTCATCTTTTGAAGTATCTTCATTATCTTTTATGACATCTTTATTCTATATCAAAATTATTTATGTAAGGTTTTAAGAAATTAAAATTTTAAATTCTTGAATTCTAAATAAACATTAAATACTTGTAACAATTATTTAGTACTTCAATGACACTTTTGTTACTAATAGACAATTCAAAGCTTATACAACATACTTTTCTTTGATCAAAATACAAATAATTTACTAATAAATCTAGAATAAATCAAATATAAATTATCATATAATTATAAGTTTTAGTTTATCGTAATTGATAATAATAATATATACAAATATATTAAAATAATAATAATTACCATTTGTCTTCTATTATGGACATATTAACTAATTGTGAAGGTAGTTTTGAAAATGTTAGATGACTATACACTGTAACTCTTAATAGTTAATATAGACACAAATCGTAATTACTAATAGACAATTCAAAGCTTATACAACATACTTTTCTTTGATCAAAATACAAATAATTTACTAATAAATCTAGAATAAATCAAATATAAATTATCATACAATTATAAGTTTTAGTTTATCGTAATTGATAATAATAATAATAATATATTAAAATATATTAAAATAATAATAATTACCATTTGTCTTCTATTTCAATTGAATCTCCAATTTCGTTTATAACCATACCAACCACATCTTGTAAAGCAAAGTGATATACAAAAAAAAAAAAGTTAGTAAAACGAATGATAACACTATAGAATTTTTAAAAAAATAAAAATTGAAAATATGTAAAATATATACCAGGGAGTGTTGCATTACTACGGAACTGACCTAAATGTTGCAATTGAACAAAATCAAATCTATGTAACGGAATTTTATCATTATCTGCAACGCCCTTAATAGATGTATTTTGAAAAAATTGTATCATTATCTTGTTATCGCTCACAACACGATATTCATTCTTGTTAGGTACAACAGAAAAATATCGAATTGTGTAAACTTTGCCTTCAATTAGTTTTGTACGAAATTGTCGTACAAATTTTCCTTTGATTGAAGCGTGGACATAATCACCCTACATATGCAAAATAATATTATATGTTAAAATAATATTGTAAGTTACACCATAAATTTAAAACGATAAGTATTATCAAATAAAAAAAATAAAATTAAAGGCATACCTCTTCGTCAATTAAAAGCATGTCCAAACTAATCAAACTATTATGTTTTCGAAAGTTCAATACATCAAAAAGCCTTGATACGCGTACTTTAATTTTCCAATCATTTTTGGTTGAATTAAGTTCTCGAATCGACGAAGTAGACCTAAGAAAACAATACAATGAAAAAAATAGTTAAAAATAATATTACCAGTAATTATAATTTGAAAAAAAAATTGAGTTTAAGGAATTACACCAACATTTTCTTAAACCTCAATATGCAATTTGTTTTGTATGAGGTATTGTGTGATTCTTTAATGGTGCATAATTAAATTAATGTCTATTTATAATAATAACAAATTATAAGCTAATTAAATTAATTTATATCTTTTTCCAAACTTAAATTTTATCTTTTATTAACTATTGAAACAATTGATAATATTTTACTTGACTGATAAAATTGATAAAAAAAAATTGCCTTGATAAGTATTGTTATCAATTGATTAGTTCAATTTACGGATTAAGGCTAGAACTCCTTTTTCCTTATCTTATACCACTTGCCAAGGAGGGGGAGCAACGAAGAGAATACGGATTAAGGCTAGAACTCCTTTTTCCTCATCTTATTCCACTTGCCAAGGAGGGGGAGCAACGAAGAGAAGACATTTTTTTAGGACGTATTTGAAAATACTATGAATTAATTCATCTTTGTACAAAATATCTTATACCTTTCATTTTATGATAAAATAAAAAAGATAAAAATAAAAAAGATAAAAAGATATATCAAATCTTTCTTCTTATTTTCTTATTAGTCGGAAAAACAATATTTTTATTTCAAAAATAAATACAAACCTTTATTCTTATTGGTCGAAATAATGATATTTCTTACGTGGCAAACGAATTTTTTAATTCCAAAATAAAATAGAAATTACGTGGCAAAATTCTTAAATATCATTCATCACTTTTGTTTAGGTGGCAAACGAATTTTTTAATTCCAAAATAAAATAGAAATCTAACTTTTAATTGGTCGAAAACATACCTTTGCTTACGTGGCGCACCGAATACTCCTTAAAAATGCCTACTTTATATATATATATATTAGATTTTAACATGTTGAATATAAAATCAACTAAACCATATAATAAATAGATTAAACAAGTAGGTCGGGTCATTAAATAAATGAGTACATTTCGAATGAATGGTTGAAAACCTATAAATAAGCACACGATTGCAATTTGTAAGAGGAGGCCCTCTTAAGCGACTAGATTTGGTTAGGATTTGTAACAAAGAAGGATAATAGTAATCTACGTATTACTGTATTAGATAGCTAATCTACAATACAACTATTTTTTTGACGGGTACAATATAACTAATACAACGCAATTTGATTAAAATTTATTTTTAACATGCCCTCATAAGACGGATGGTCAATCCGGAAAATCATTGGTTAAGTCATTCAGTAAGACCTACATTGTACAATAGTTTAATAGGAATTTAATATGGATCGTGAGCAAACATGTCAAGAGAAAGTTTGAACATCTATACGACTATACTATATGCATTGTATAATTCTTTCTACATCGTAACTTCCTGAGGAAGGAGGCTAAATTTTTCTATTGAAGCCTCACACTTCCAAAAATTTTCTGTAACCCTATGAAGATAATTCATTGATAGAAAGAATTTTTCGCGAGAATTTCACATTTACGTTAGACCAAGGAATTTGATGAGAGAAACGGGGGTATAGGAAAGAAAAGAAGAAAAAAAAAATGATTCCTAACTCTTCTGCCTCCTGATCTTGAGATATATCAACTGACAACAGAATGTTGTATTTGATTCGGTAGCGTCTGTGGTTTCTTCCTAAAAGCATGCTTCCTACAATGTTCGAAGATGCTGTCGTATATCAAATCAAATTGGACTCCGGCTCTCTCCCGGTTGATAATGAATAGAATGTGATCTCCTTCAACAACTTTGTAATACCTGCACATATTTTATCCAAGAAACATGGTTAGACATAATATACATGAACAATAGTCACACTGAAAAATTGCTCATGTTCTGTAGCCCAGGAATAATCGTTGAGAGTAGATCTATCAAAATTCAACAAAACAAATTAACTAACTGCAGTGAAATAATGGACATGGAACAAACTAGCCCAAATTCGAAATTACCAACCTATTGCAATATTTTGTGCATCATTGCCAATATTATATTTGGGTATTATATAATGTAACTATGACAATTAAGTTCTACTCCTCGCCTTGTGTTGGATGACTAACACTTAGCAACATATCTAACCCCATTACCTCAGTCAGAACAACATAGCTGAACATGCACCAACGGTATTTGTAGTGGATGTCAACTAGTTTACTTGGATAGTCTTTGAGGCAGTATCCAAAAACCCTGTACAAAATTCTGTCTACATCCTTTGTCTTCTGTCCTTGGTGAGTCTCTACACCCAATGAACTACAATATTTGCTAACCGTCACATGGTATTCGGGTAAGAAATTTTCAGAGCCTCTATTATTCAAAGAGATGTTCTGGCAGAACTGTGGAGATCATTGTACGACACACAACCTTACATCATCTAGTGCCCTTCTAATATATATAACATTATCTACTGAAACCATCGCTCAATAATGTTACCAGCAACAGGTAGGGTCTACAAGAATGAGCTGAAACTTTCCGTCTTTCTGTTAATTCTTTCACGTTAGATCTTTGTCCGTATATCCGTTAAAACATATTGTGCTTAATGACAAGGTATTGACTCTTAAGAGTAGCGGATGACAGAGCAATTGGCAAATAATTTTATGACAATAATTGTGATTACTAGATTGTTCCTACAATTTGAAATAATATAAACAAACCAAAGAGCAATATCATAGCATACGGTTGGTAAACTTGCTAGGCATTTAACTCTGTTACTCGGATAAGGAAGGTACAGCATTTAACATACCAGATACCAGGTTGCAATGGCCGGCAATCTTTATCATTTGTGACAAGACAGTGGGGATGTTCGATAGGAAATCGAGGATACATCATGGATATTGTGTTGAGTGCCCCATCATTGTCCCACCAATCTTCATCCCTGTAACAAGTAAAGAATTATTTTTCTGTCTCACTCAAAAATAAAACAGGAAGAACCGTTGCAAGAAAGCTAGAAAAAAATATCTATTATCAGTATTCAATATTAACACTTCATATTGCTCATTACACAACTTATATCACACTACTTTTGAAAGTTATAAAGAAAACAATTAAAAGTGCCATTTGAAGCATTAAAAGGCTTTTTTCTTCCTAGTAGGAGACACAAAGCTATTACAAAAACTAGCATACAACAGTAAAAGAGAGGTTTTGAACCTAAAACCAAAACATTCGTGATCTCGGTCAAAAAATTTGCAAGCATGAAAATAACATACGAGTACAATCTAAAAAGTTGTTGATTTTATCATTTTACATTACCATTTCAATCCAGCTAGAGAGATTAGAGGTTCTCACACAATAGTCCTCCAAGGAATTTTCAGCAAAGGAAACATGGTATGCACTACAAAATGAAAATGGTCAAAATTCTCATCTAATGCTAGCTAGAAGAGTTCGAATAATACAAATATTGAGTTACTAATTTCATGAAACTGCATATTTGCTCCCACCATTGACTAGTTGTAAAAGCATCTTGCACATCATATACAAATGCGAAATTAAGGAAACGGGTTAAGACCAGACTTGAGATCACAGAGACTTGGGATCTCAAACTTTATGCAAGCCAATAAACTAACAAAACAACCAAGATGTAAATGTAATACCTGTAGCCTTTGTAAGGGGGAGGTAAATCAGAAGGGTGACGCCACATGCACATCTGCAACACTCTGATGAAGAGCAAAGGGTGGATCCCAAGTACACCGGAAGGAACCGTGAAACCAAAGAGCTGTCGGGTTCGCTTTGTAGCATAACTGAAATAAAATGTATCAGGGAAAGTTTGTAAATGGGAGTTAAGCCGCATTGATCCTTGGATTGTTAGATCAGGAAGGATCCAATCTCCTGAAGCAAATGGACCAGCATTTCCTAAGAGATGGTCTACTAAACCCCATACACCAATCTTCCTCCATGACATATTGAAGTGGTCAAATCCAAAATTGTAATAGGACTTTAACCAAGGAATATCAAACCAATCATATATGATAACTCCCAATCGACAAAGCTGAAGCAAACATACAGGTTTCAAGGTCATTCCATCCTCTGGCCTGTAATCAATTGTGCAAATGATAACTATAAGCATTAAAGAGATTTTAAGAACAGAAGCATCATAGTAAGCAATCGACTACTTCTAGGACCCCACCACATTATGTCATTCGGCCTAACAAAGACAGCAATTACAAACAATCAATGGCAAAGAAGGAACTAGAGTGACAATGACATTTCTTAATTATCAGATGGATAAGAAGCAAAGTATTCCAGCTCAAAGCAACAACATCAAACATGAAATAGCGTCTCAACTCCTAACCAACTCGTTCTAAATAATAACTTAAAACCACCTTAATGAAATGAAATGCATCTCACAACTACTAACACACATAGAGTATATCTAAACATCACATCACCATTATAACACACAAATCTTCTTTACTTAGCCCTGCATTTCAACTGATACACATCTTAAGGGAAAGGAACTTACTGCATCCCATCAAAATAAGTTCTAGTGGTCCCATTGAATGCTCCAGATAAAGATGTTATGCTCAACACCCAGTTTGGAGAAGTGTCATGACCTTTAAATGCCTGCATACAAAGACATCACTATGTCAAAATGATACGAAATATCGAGCATCAATTTCATTCTATGCAAACCATGAATGATCCAAACCTTATCCGCAAGCATTTGCTGTAAAACACGTACAGCCTGAGCTCCGGCTGAATGCCCCACAAAATGTATAGGATGATCCTCATCCCATTCAGGGTAATGACCTACATATATACAAAAAATGAATCATAATTAGAATTCATCACAATCCCATCGTCATATTAATAAACAGATGACAATAACATATACATTAATTAAAAGACAGCAAAATTGCAATTGTTTATAATTATCCCGGAAACCTTGTTCATAAATTCTTCCAAATTGCGAATGTCCACATGATTTGCTGTGTTCTTCACCATAATCAACCTGACCCCCTTTCAAGTAATAGAACAATTCCCGCGCCCTGAAAATCAATTACCCAAAAAACCCTTTAAAATCATACATTCATACTCCAAATTTTCCCCAATTTAAAAAATAATTAAAAATAAAAAACCAATTTATTAATAATACAAACCTATCATATATGCTGGTTAAAGAACCCAAATCAGGCACCAAAACTCTTTCATCCTTCTTCTCTGCTCCAGCAAAATAAGATAATCCTCCCAATTTCTGGAAAAAAAAAAAAAAACACCAAATATCAAGATTAAAATAAATACTAAAAATGGCAAAAATTAAATAAAAATTGATGAATCTATTTGAAAATTAATGACTTACCCCTTGACCAAATCCAAAAATTCCATGAACCAAAACAATGGGAGGCAAATCATCAACAGAAGAAGGATGAACATCATCTTCTTTAACCTCAACAATGTTATTATCATTGATATTGTTGTTGGGTTTGAAATAATCACATAAAACTTGGGACAAATCATATGCAACAGCTGTGCTAAATATGTAAAACCCATAAAATAAATGAACCCATGAACTTACAAATAGCTCCACTAATTGCATAGAATTTAACCATAATCTCATCATTTTTTCCAATTTTTTTTTTCTTTTATTTGATTATGATTATCCTCCTCAAATCCCAAAAAATTGAAGGGGAAAAACCAAACCAAAAACCCCCTTTTTGTTTTCTTCTTCTCCTCACCTCAAATCAAGCTCCAAAAACCTCAAATTTTCTAAAAAAGAACGCTAATTTGTTCAAATGTTGGTGAAAAATTCTCAAGAACAATAAATTGTTAATGATTCCCACAATTTCTACTTTTTTTTTTTTTTTTGTTGTTGTTGTTGTAAAGGATTGTTTGGTGCTTTAGGTGTGAAAGAAGGGGCTATAGTTTTTTTGACATACCCCAACCTCACAAGTTTAACACAAGGCAACCAACAACCAAACAATGGTCTATATTAGAAGAGCCTGAGTTTTTTGAACTACTCATACGTGGCATCTTTTTATTTGTTTGTATAAACTGCATGATTCTTCATGGTGGGGTATACTATCAACTGACGTATAGCACAAGTGGACCTAGCTAGCACAATTCGGATAGATGGGTCGGGTTTTGGGTTTCATTTTAAATTGTGAAATCATAAATTTAAACTGCTCATATTCAATTAGGTTGGTGTGAGTTTCTCACAGTAACTTCATGTCGCGTCGAGTATGTCATTGAGTCTGGTCTAACTATGATAAAACACGTTATTTCATTTAGGACCTAGCTAGCACAACATGGCCCTTAAGCAAAAGAAGAAGAACTGACTCGGGATGGAACAAGCAATTATGGAGGACAGTGGCGTATCCAGGAAGTCAGAAGTGTGGGTTCGAATCATCAAATAATAAGATATAGCTCCTTCGTTTTTTTTTTTTTTGCAATGTTGATGATTTCACGCTTGCCAATGCACATTCTATTACTTAAATATCTTAAATTACATTTTTGTAATAAATATACAAAGTTGATATCAAAAAGGGGGAAAAAAATTAAAATTGCTTATATAAGCATTCGGGCTTTCATCAAGTGGTAATATAAGGAGTTTAGAGAAGAAATTGAAAAAAAAGGGAGAATAAATAAAAAGGCTTTAGAAAAACAAGTATACATGAGAGTTTTGAGGTGAAACTGAAAAAAATTTGGAGAAGGTAGTGAGGGTAAAGGAAAAGAGGGGAAATTATTTTTAAAGTTCAAGTGGTAATATTAGGAGTTTAGAGGAGAAATTTGAAAAAAAGGGGAAAAAAATAAATGATGTGAGGCTGAGAGTCGAACCCCAGACCTATAGGGGCCTAGCGCACAAACCAAACCCTTGCTACCACTGATCTGCGCTTTTTTTTCCTATATTACTTATGCACACAAATTCTATTTATTTATTTTTCTATTTTTAAAAATTAAATAAAAAAAAAGAAACAAACAAACAAACCTATTTTTCCCGAAAAATCAGTGGGTTCAATGAACCCACTTGAACCCACCGTGGATCCGCCACTGATGGAGGAGCATGACAAGGCAAATCACGAAGTATGACACTATGGAAAATGAGATTAGGTTGTGTACTCATGCCTAAGTCAACCTTTTGAAATTACAATTACGAAATGGCACATAGTGAGTAAGCTCATATGTGAGCTGAGCTTAGCCAAACCCAAGATATACGTGTTGTTCAACACGAGGCACAACTCATAATTATTTTTAAGGTGACTAGGCGAGATAACATAAACTCACTAAATATGGGTTTATGCCGCATCTGCAAATCAAGAGAAAGAGTCTACTTCACAAATTCAAAGAAGGTTTCATCCCAAAACCGTATGACAATAAGAGTAACCCCTTAACATTATAAAGTAATTAACTCTCTCATTTTTAACCAGAAAGTGTGGTGATACTTGGTTGTTTATTATTCAACAATACTACCATAGATTCATTATCTTTTATTTAAAAAAAAAGATTAATTTGGTATTATGCAAGTACTAGTGAGGAATTTTTAGCCTCTTAATAATTAGAGTCATAAATGACTATAAGTCTATAATAACACACATTGGTATTTCACATGATACCAACAACAAAGTATATCGATACCAACATAATATTTTGCATTCGTTAGTATCACTGAATAAGGTTGTTGGTATCATAATGATACCATTTAAATTACTCCGTATAATGAAATATCAACACACGTTATGATATATTTTTTCCAAATACGATATAAGTGAGTGGACGAATATGCCCTTAATAGAGTCATTTATGACTCTAACTACTAGAGTCTTAGAATTCGTCAGTAGTAGTTCATTGAAGCTATGTGGTGGTCATGAAATGATGATGGATAATACTGGTAGGTAGAAAGAGATTATTCAGTGGGTAAGAGATTCTAGGAGTTTCGTTGACACGAAAAAAATGAGCTGGAACTAGGCTGGAAGGTTATCTTACATACTCAATTCTCCTCCCTAAAAATCAAACTACGGAGTATTAATTACTCCTAAAACTCTATAACCTTATCCTTTTTATGTAGACTACCAAAATTAACAATATAGTACTGCTACTTGAATATAGGACTCCGTAGGGCCCCTTCAAATTTCTTACGGAGTCACTTGTTTGTGGGCCTCATGGCCTAGTATCAACTTCTTTACTTTTTGTTCTTTAAGGAGTCAAATACTACGTATAATGAATTTATTACTATGATGAAGTACGAGTCTTTCACATTTTGACTTTGATCTATGAGAATTAGAGTATTTGATATCTCGTTATTTATGTCAGGCTTTCATAGGCCTTGAGTTATTACAAATTAGATTGTCGAATTATTAATAGATTACAAAATTTCAGCCTCATTAACTAACTTAAAAATTGTACTGGTATGAAATATAAAAGTTAGTTATTCTCTTATACTTTTAAGCAATTTTCATACCACGCTGACAATTATATATTACTTCTTTTATATGATACTTGATCATTAGTTGCAAACATACTAAGACCACTCACAGCAGTGGGCAAAAAAACAATCTGCTCACTCTCTCTCTACCCACTTTTTTTCTTAACAAATATTATTTTGCCTATGAGCAAAGTTTTTTCACAATAACTATCACACCAATGAGCAAAAAAAAAATGTTTGCCCACCAATCTCTCTCTTACTTTTTCAATACCCCACTATTATTTTCTCTCTCCTACACACCAATAACTAATTTATTATTTTGTTTTTAAATTTAACCATACTACTCCAAATAAAATAAAAGTAGATTACATATAATATATTTTTTTAATTTAAGCCGTACATACGAAAAGTAGACTAAAATACGAAATTTAAGCCGTATATACAAAATTTAGAATATTTACAAAAATAAAAGTAGACTAAATATTATGAATATAGAGGATTTTTGTGTTTTCGGAAATTATACCAACAAATATGAAGATGGATGTCTATTTGTAGAGAAAAATATTTTATGACCGTTGGTGAATTTTTTTTTTTTTCCAATTTTATAAAGCACGAAAAGCAATTTACATAAAATAGCCGTTGCAAAATGGCTACAAAAATCTGATTGGTTCTTATACCTAATTGGGTCGCGTGGCAGCATTGGATTTGCTCTTTTTTTCTGAATTTGCTGGGACAAGTGTCAGCATATAAATGGTCTTTTTTTATTTATTTTTTCTGCTTTTGCTTGGACATGTGGCGGCTTTTGCTTGGTTCTTCTGAATGGGTCCCACGTGCACTATTTATCAGCAAATTTGCCCAAGTCTTGGGCATTTTTAGAAATGCTCATTAGCATATTTTTGCATTTCTTCATTTGATCACCATTGTAATGCATGAGCATATTTTTTGCCCACCCAAATTGTCCATGAGCATATTTTTTGATCACCATTGAGAGTGCTCTAATATGAGTGATGAATAACTTATGCTTACACATTTAATGTGTGGGCATTCTTGAGTAAGGAAGTTGAATATTCATACAATATGCGGTGCAAGTAAGACAATTAGCAAAGATAATAGTAGTTATATTATGTTAGATGACTAACATACAGAGATTGGTGGATTACTCATCAACTCGTTTTCAAATTGCAGGATGAATTCTTATCGAAATTATAAGTGGTCACAGGTCAAATCAAATGCTCCACCAACACTATATAAGAATTAGTTATACTACCTTTTTTTTTTTTTTTCAACTTTTGCTATTTTAATCCGTTCACTATTATGTGCAACTTTCTATTTTCTTTCTATTTTTAGTAAACAAAAACCCTGAAAATTACAAATTTACCCTTACTTAAAAATTCAGATTTTCTTAATGTTACCCTTATCTTTTTTCAATCACAATAACTTTTTTATCTAATCTAAAATCATTAACCTAATTTTACCCACCCATTTACTCATCTACCCACCACCCATTCACCCTCTTCATCTTCTTCTTTCTTCTTTCTCTCTCCTCCATCTTCTTCTTCTTCTTCTTCTTCTTCTTCTTCTTCTTCTTCTTCTTCTTCTTTCTCTCTCCTCCAAAAATGTCAGGATATACCCACCAATTCACTCCCAAACACCCCAATTTCTCACATTCACTCAATTTATCACAATTCAGCAACTAACACTACTTCCCATTATAAGCCACTTCTTCCACCACCCTCTCACCGGAAAAACAAACCCCACAAACTCCAATTTCCAGAACATTCTTCCGCCATGGGAGGACCTTCAAGGTGGACCTTCACCTTCACCATCTTCATCCTCGCCATTACAACGATCTCAGTTCAAGCAGGCAACAACAACCATGTCTACCTTTTAAAAATGTTCTTTCTCTCTCCAAAACAACCACCACCATGAAATCACTTGAAAGCCGCCATTAACCCACTTTCTTTCCTCTTCTTTTCTCTCAAATTTCTCTGTAAAACTAACCCATAAAAATGGGGTGTACAGCTTCAAAGCTCGACAACAAAATTCGCCGTTGCAAAATGAGATCTACACTTCCGATTTGTTTTCGTTTTTCGTTTTTGTTTCATGTTTTTATTGTTGATTATTGTAGATCTACAATTTCTATTGTTAATTTTCCGTTTTGTAAGCTTATTGTATGTTTTTGTATTGTAAATTTTCCGTTTTATTGTTAATTTTTATTGTTGATTATTGTATTTCTATTGTTAATTTTCCGTTTTATTGTTAATTTTCTACGTAGATCTACAATTTTTTTACTTTCGAAATTTCTGGGTTTTTTTGGGATTTTGTTCGACTTTTTTCGGTTAGGTTTAGTGTGGTGAGTTGGTTACGGTGCGGTGACTGTGTGGATGGAGCTGTCGGATTTTTGGGTGGTCTGGGGGTGGGTCTGGGTTGGAGGTGGTCGGGGCTGGTGGTGGAGGGGAATGTTAGATTTCTGGGTTTTTTGGTTAGGGAGGGGGCTGCCGGAAAAAGGAGGGAAAGACGTGAGGATGGTGGTGGTTTCGTGGGGTTGGTTGTGGTGGTGGTTT